CCTGCACCTAAATTTCAGATTGAGTAAGTCAGGGCCAGCCAAGTAAAGTGGCAAAACTTGTAGATGAATTCAAAATTTATGAAGATAATATTTCAGTCCCCATCAGGTTGGGGATGTTAAACTCTACTCAATCCACCTCGCCCTGTTCTCCCCTCTCCCCCCCTTGTCTGCTTATTTTTACAGCCTGCCGTCCAGGAATCCATCAGTCTTTTCATGGCCTACGTTCACACCAGTGTCAACCAGGCAAGTGAAAAATACCAGCGCAATGAGAAGAGGTACAATTACACCACCCCCAAGAGCTTTCTCCAGCAAATCACCCTGTACAGAAACCTTCTGGAGAAGAGCCAGGCTCAGCTCCAGCACAAGATGAACCGGCTTGACAACGGCCTTCAGAAACTCCAAACCACTGCTGCTCAGGTTAGCGTTTTAATCATATATATATAGTAGGGGGGCAATATTAGGGTTTAAAGTACTGTAAAGGTATGAGGTAAGAATATTAAGCATAGTAATAGTCTTTGATTTGAACAGTACAGTATGTGTTTTTCTCTGACATTAAGAAGATTACACTGTGAAGTGTGTGTAATCATTTTTTTTTCTCTTGTTTAAGGTTGAGCATTTAAAGGCCAAATTGGCATCCCAAGAAACTGAGCTGACCTTAAAAAATCAGAATATTGAAAGTCTAATTACAAAGATTGGACAGCAAACTCAGAGGGTTAGTAACAAGAGAGAGGCTGCAGATGTTGAGGCACAAAAGGTGAGCTACTGTATCTTACCTCTCTTTGGTTTTTGTACGCTTTTTTGGCTTTGGACTCTTTATACCACGCGTATTATTTACTACATTGTGGTGATTTAGTTACTATTATTATTATTATTATTAGTTATTTTTTTTGCTTTTGTACAGGTAGCTGTCATCCAGGCTGAAGTCTCAGTCAAACAGAAGGACTGTGAAAATGACCTAGCCAAAGCAGAGCCGTCACTGACAGCTGCCACAGCAGCACTGGACACACTCAACAAGGTGCTTCATTTTATAACATTGAACAAATGTTCAGTCCTTTTAAAGATTATATAATGTTTATAATAAAAAAATTGTAATTGTTTTTTAGATGAATCTTACTGAACTGAAGGCTTTTCCAAACCCTCCAGTGGCAGTGATCAATGTAGCAGCAGCGGTGATGGTTCTGCTAGCTCCCCGTGGTCGAGTGCCTAAGGATCGGAGCTGGAAGGCAGCACGAGCCTTCATGGGCAAGGTTAAGCTTGTCATCATATCAATCACATCTGCCTGATTAATACCAGTCTAACTTGTGTGTGGCCTTGACCCTGACCCTGCATAGCATTTCTCCAGTACTCACATTTGAATGGCTCTGTGAATATGCTCGCTCACTAGGCGAGCGAGTACAGTATGTCGACCTGTTTCTCACACTTGAATTAATAGCCACTATTAATTCAAGTGTGACCATAAAAGGAAGTATTTTTTAAAAGCCAGTAGAATTAAAGGTTCATTCTTTTCTTACCAAATATGTTTTTAACAATTTAGACGCAGTAGGTTTTAGACTCTAGCTCAACCACAACATTTGGTGTTGATGAGCAGCAGGTGGAAAAAAAGGAGAAGCGTTTATATATTTTAAATTCATTCAAATAGTCTGTGTTAGACCAATATGCTTTCTCTGTATGAGTATATACTTGAGAAATAATACAAATCCTTGATATGTAGGATTGTGCTGTTTTGTATGTGTGGAAACATTAGCAGTGAGGTTGTTTGGATCTGCAACATGGCCTGTATGTGTCTCATTTTTAGGTTTTATTAATTAGAAAACAACACCCACCCCAAAATGTTAGTGCAGGTATTACTGTGTCCTCTGTTTTTGTTTTTGTTGGTCAGGTGGATGATTTCCTGCAAGCCCTGGTGTCATATGACAAGGAGCACATTCCTGAGTCCTGTTTGACTGTAGTGAAACGAGAGTATTTGACTAACCCAGAGTTTCACCCTGATCTTGTTCGCACCAAATCTACAGCAGCAGCTGGTCTCTGTGCCTGGATTATTAACATTGTTAGATATTATGAGGTCAGGAAATGCCTTGAAACAAGTTGTACTTATAATAAATATTAGTACATTTTCTTGTATTCTGTAATATATAATGTTATTTTTCCAAAATGTATGCGTCCTTTATTGCAGATATATTGTGAGGTCATTCCAAAAAGGGATGCATTATCACAAGCTAATGCAGAACTAGAAATGGCAACATCCAAACTGTTGGCAGTTAAAAAGAAGCTGGTGGTGAGTGCAGTGTTAATATTATACTTTAAGTAATTTAATCAAAAAGCTAGTTTTTCTTAGTGGTGTCTAATTTCCATGGCTTCTTTTGGTTTGTTTTTCCAGGATCTTGATGCCAGTCTCCAGAGCCTCACAGCTCAGTTTGAAAGGGCTACAGCTGAGAAAATCAGTTGTCAGGAGGAGGTAGCACATACCATCCAAACCATAGAGCTGGCCAACCGACTAGTCAAGGGCTTAGAGGTAAAGACTGAGAGGTGGAGGAGTTTGGTAGTGTCATAGGGCTGGCCTAGCATGAAGTAAACTGTCAATGTGTGGGAGGCATGCATGGAGAGTCAATGGTAATCGAATTGCATCAATAATCTGGACTAGAAATGGTTATGTCCTGGCAGAATAGCCTGACAGTTGTGTGAGTAGATCGGGCAAAGGGAGATTTTACAGCCTGGCCCAGCAGCATACTGAGGACATGTGAGACAGTTAGAGTGGGCTGGATCACACAAAACGCTTGACTGAACCAGCAACTGGCTGGCTGAACAGTTTCCAAATGGAGAAAGGTAGAGAAATGGCAATAATGCTACACTAACACTGTGCTCACAGAGTACAGTAGACGGATTGCGTTTGTAGAGAACGTCTGTGTAGTTACCGTACTGTATATTTAGCATATGTATTTGTGTGCCTTGTGATCATCTTTGCACAATCTCTAGTTTGTCTGAGGTGTAGTAGTAACTCATTTGCAGGGTTTCTTTTCAACCAACTGAAAAAGTACCAAGGGAAGTTGTGGAGTATGAATATTTGGAATATATAAATGTCAAAATTTCAATATTTGCATAATTTGTGAAGTTCAGCTCTTGCATTTCAGTGCATCCTGTTTTCAGGCTATATTATCTGTTTGCTTTGTGGATGGTAACATGAAGGATAATGATTATCCTTGTCATTAAGATGGTCACTTCATTGGCTATTTTGTAACTTCGACTTACTTATTCCAGAAAATAAATGTGGTTTCCATGGAACAGCTTGGCTTTTAAGCATATCAAGATAAATGTTTTGTCTTTATGGCATTGACCTGGAAGCAATAGTGTTCAGACTAATAAATCAGACCGTCTATATTCAATCATTAACTTACCTCAAAGCCTCAACAGCTGTTGGAAATTAACAATGTCTCACCCCAGACTGAGTGATATTACAGGCAATCCATAATACATTAGAGTAAAATTATAGTGATTTTTAACTGTCTGAAAATTTATTATGTGACATATTCTAGATCCACAGCCCCTTGTAAGAAAATGCCATGTAAGATTTATTGTTGTAAGGCTGTCACAGTCATATTATTGAAGGTTTAAATGAATGCTAAATTGATGCTGAGTGAATCTTCCAAAGCTTTTTCAAGGAAATTGCAGCTATATGCTTTACTGCTTACATTTTCATAGTTTGTAAAATAAATGCCGTGGGAAGTTGTCCAGCATCTACGTTTTGCTACAGTGTACAACAGATAGTTATTTGGTTTAAACTGTGTTCCAAAGCATTCTTCTTATAAATTAGCTATTTGTGTGTTTCTGCATATTTTTAAAATTATATTGAAGCCTGGTTTTTGTATCTTGCAGTCAGAGAAGGAGCGCTGGTCCCAAGCCGTTCTTCAGTATGACAAGCAACGGAAAACTCTGTGTGGTGATGTTCTCCTCACTTCAGCATTTGTCTCTTATATGGGTTATTTTACGAGGCAGTATCGTGTGGAGCTCTTTAATAACACATGGATCCCTTTTCTTCAGTCTCAGAAGGTAAGATCAGTTTTGCAGTGGATTTTGTATTGTTGTGTTGTATATTTCTCTCTATAAACATCTACAATAAATTCTGTGAACTGAAGCTCATTGTGCTGCCACCAGTGCTCCAACTAGAGTGATATCGTTTCTGTTCCAGGTCTCTGTACCCTTGACAGACGGCCTGGATCCAGTCCTCATGATTACAGATGAAGCCACTGTGGCTGCCTGGCATAACCAGGGCTTGCCAAATGATAGGATGTCCACTGAGAACGCTGCCATCCTGACCACCAGCGAGCGTTGGCCACTCATCATTGACCCACAGCAGCAAGGCATCAAGTGGATCCAAAATCGAATAGGGTCAGAGCTTAAGGTGGTGCAGCTGGGACAGAAAGGGTGAGAAGAAGCTGTTTCACCTGATTTCAATCAGTGTCAGGGAGTGCTAACACACCATATAAAAGTGCGTGTCAAAATACATTTGCTTGTTTTTTTTTTGTTGTTTTTGGTTCAGCATGTATCTAGATGTGATTGAACAAGCTCTTGCCTGTGGTGAAACAGTTCTGATAGAGAATCTTCCAGAAAAGGTAGACCCGGTCCTGGAGCCCCTGCTGAGTAGAAGCACTATTAAAAAAGGAAGGTTGGTGCTGAAACTGCAGTATTACATTTGCATTGTTGAATCATAAAGCATAAATGCTTTGTTGCACACCAAAAACATTTAAGTCAGTGTATAGTTTTTATATGCCTGTTGATACTCAAGTCAATGTGCCCACAACTCGTCACAATGGGTCTGTGGTGTGAGACAATAGGAGCACATTTGCCAGATAGTTGAATCTCACTGAGCATTGAAACACCACTAAGATATGACGGAATGCATTATTATTGCCCACTCTAGATTATAAATGAATTTGCGGTGCATGTTCTGAATCCCTGAGGCCAACTTATTGACTGACCTTTCTAGACAAGTGATAGATGTATATTTGTGTGTTCATATTATATAGGTGTGATGAATATTGAACAGCTGAGCCTCAGTGTAAAAGCTGAATTGAAGACAGTCATGGTTATTTATAAGGACTCCTATCTTCCACGGAAAGCTGGCATGTAACACGCTAAATTCAATGGTCTTCCATCATGATGGCAAACCCAATGCAGCTTCAATAATTTCATACTGATGATAGATGATTGGTTGGTATATGTCTGCATTTATTGCTTTGGAAATAGAATAATAACACTGAGCTTTACACTCCCTAATATAATTCACTGCATCAGGATCATCTTAAATTATAACTTGATCTTAATTGTGAAGTAGGTAGGTCATTCAGTATATAAATATTTTGTCATTTAATTAGAAAAAAAAGCTTTACCACTACTACTATATCTTTATTATATATTATATTTACTATATCTTGTTTATCATCACATTGCATGCCATCCAAACTGACACTTCTTTGAAACACCCTGTAGTCAGTAAATCTTTCTGATTTTAAACCTGACTACTGTTGCCCACTGTAATCCACAGTGCCATCAGAATGGCTGCTCTGTAATATCTTTGTTCAGTTATCAATCGCCCTCAAAAAGCAAAATCCAGAACAATTCCTAAACTGAACAACTGGCAACAAATAAATAGAACTACCCTATATTGACATTGTGCTTTCACCTTCCCCTCAAAAATGTTTACATCTTTCTTGCAGTGATCTATGTATGACCATGAATACTGAGTATCTTAGTGCATGTTCATTGAGCTTCTTCTGAAATCCTGTCTGCCCAGACGTAACAATTCATCATAGTAAATCTGATTATAAGTTTATTCCTTGTAGATGACCCACACACTTGTTTCTGTCGATGATTAATACAACCTGCTGGGCCAGCCATGATGGATCTCATAGGGCACCACAGCTGAAGTTCATTAATAATTGGAATGTTGTAGAGTGTGAAGTAATGAATACTAATTATTCCTTTCATGGCTGACGGAAAACTACAAGCCAATCCATCAGCAAGGACTTTAATTTGGTGGAGTAATGGTTCTATCAATAGTACATTAATTCTGGCTTGTGAAGATATAGAGTTGAACCAGACCCAGGCCATGAGGAACCTGTGCTGTAAAATTGGGGCCTTGCCTGACATCCAAGGGGTAATTAGAGAAAAATGAAATGCCACCAGGTTCGTCAAGCCAGTGCTAATTTAATTGAAATGCAGGAACAGATAAATATTGGCTGCTGTGGTGATAATCTTTCATATTTATTCAGGATTATTTGTCTACAGTATAATTGACATTTGAAACCAAAGTGAAGTTTGTTGCTCTGTTGAAGTTGCAGTGCATAAACATTCAATTCAATGGACTGGATGCATAAGGACAAAAGATACATTCAAGATGCAGAGGTTTTGCACTTCCTTAGTTCAAATGTTCTATAGGGCCGTCCTCATCATCCTGCATTGTTCGTTGCACTGCGATCTTTCCAATGATGTAATAATCATCTAATCAACATTTCATTTGTCCCTATCTCAGTTTGAAAGTTAATGTAAAAAGTGTTTGATGGAAAGGCCAAACCAACTTGAGCAGTTTCACTAAATTGCTCTCTTTTTTGCAATTAAATTACTTGTTCACATTGGATTGGAAAGAAAAGTTTTCAAAGTTGCAAGCTCTGATGGCTCTAAACATGAAAGTTCACTTTTGACCTAGTAGTTTGTCAAAACATCCCATATTGGAGTCAACTGATTAGCTTTTTCTGGAGCTGTTAATGGATGTGTTTACTCAGTTGCTGTGGAGATCTAACATGTGAGCTTGAAAGCTACAATACTAAGATTTCATCCACAGAACATTTAGAACTCCCCATCCTTTTTGGCTTAAAGGTTACGCATGAACATACAATATGTTATATTCATTATATGAAGACCATTTGACTTTGAAACATTTGGCAAAGAGTTCCAAAGTTTCAGTTAGTTATTGTCTATAGTAGAAACAAAGCTGAGTTTTGCTACACCTACAACAAAATTTGGTAGTGTACGTTTTGTTGTTTATTAATTTTGTCATCTTTATGCTCTTTCCTAAAGGAAAAAAATAACATTTGACTTAAAGCAATGTACTGTCCTGTTATCCAGGTACATTCGGATTGGGGGCAAGGAGTGTGAATACAGCAGTAACTTTCAGCTCATTATGCACACCAAGTTAGCCAGTCCCCATTTCCCTCCTGAGCTCCAGGCCCAGACCACACTAATCAACTTCACAGTAACTCCTGTGGGCCTGGAAGAGCAGCTGCTGGGACAGGTAGTGTCCCAGGAAAGACCTGACCTGGAGGCTCTAAAGGTGAACCCTTAAGCATTTTATGAGCGATGAAGACTGTCAAACCTACAGTAAACCATAGTCTACCATATGAAAAAGAAAATCTCATTAATTTGAATTGTTTTGTGTATGTTTCCCAAGATGGAGCTGACCACACAACAGAACTACTTCAAAATTGAGCTGAAGAGGTTGGAGGATGACCTGTTGAGTCGCCTCTCTGCAGCCCATGGTAATTTTCTGGGTGATATTTCTCTGGTAGAGCAACTTGAAAACGCCAAGTCCACAGCCGCTCACATTCAGAACAAGGTGAGGTTATAACACCAACAGGGTCCTCTCAGGTGTCCATCTGTAGTCAAGTGCTTGTGTTTTTGAATGTCACACAATAGCAAGCGCCTCATTTTATTGCATTAGCTGCAATTGATGTGTAGGTAGGAATATGTGTAATGAGAGGGTTTTGGAACATAACTGAGAGCCTAATAGCTCATTTTGTGCAACTGGAACACACAGGTGGTGGAGGCCAGAGAGAATGAGACAAAGATCAACAAGGCTCGAGAACTATACCGCCCAGCAGCTGAGCGAGCGTCTCTCCTCTTCTTCATCATCAGTGACCTCAGCAAAATTAACCCAATGTACCAGTTTTCTCTCAAGGTGAAACGTACCCCTGAAGTGCTCTCAAGGGATGCATATCATTTTGCACCGTATTTCAGACAAAACTTAATCCACTTTGACCAAAACTCTAGATTTTGGATTTTTAAATCAGTGCTTTTAGTTGTCAATTTAGTGCAGATCTAGCCATGTATATTTTTATCTTCTGATAGTGCTAATCCTCCTTTTGGTTGTGTTCCAGACCTTTAACTCGGTGTTTAACAAAGCGATGGAATGTGCAGAATGGGATGAAGATGTGAGGACCAGGGTGCACACCCTCACAGAGGCCATCACCTATTCTGTATTCTTGTACACCAGCCAGGCCCTGTTTGAGAGAGACAAGTTAACCTTCTTGTCACACACTGCCTTCCAGGTGAGGGACTCGGGGCCGCCTCAAAGGTGGGGCCTCCTGTCATCCTCATCAATCAAAGTACTTTTCTGCCCCCACATTAACTTCAATTAAAAGCAGTCACCAGCACCATACGCTGCTATTGATTACCTCTCACACCTTGCTCCATGGCTGCTGTTCAGACAGTTGGTTCTGACGGCATAATGCAATTATCTGTCACTGCACCAACTGTTCTCATCTTAGAAATTGTGCTGCTCTGGAGACTGTGCTTCATGTAGAAATTACACATTCAGAGGCACTTATTCAGCTTCTGTGAGTTTATCAAATCTCATCATCAGAATTTTCTTGCATTCAATTATTGTGGAAAATATTTTTAAAAAGATCAGTGCAGCATAGATCATTCCAAACTGCTCTTGGTCCTTCTCCTCAGATTCTGCTCAAGCAGGGCTTGATTGATGCTCAGGAATATGATCTTTTATTGCGTTTCCCTGTGGAAGCTACCAAAGTTAGTCCTGTGTCCTTCCTCTCTTCATATGCCTGGGGAGCCATTAAGGTACAGTATAGGATATTAACATACCGGATGTGATGTAACATGTTAAAGGGTCACCTTCTGATCCTTATCCATCAGGTCATCACTACATACCTCCTTCCACTGCTAAGAGAGGTCTTACACTGTCTGTTGTTTGGATGTAGACAATTTCTGCAATGGAGGCCTTCAGTGGACTGGACAGAGACATGGAAAGTTCACCAAAGCGCTGGAGGAAAATTGTTGAATCCAGTTGTCCTGAAAAGGAACGACTTCCACAGGACTGGAAGAATAAAACCTCCCTCCAGAAGCTCATTATTCTTAGAGCACTTCGCCCTGATAGGATGACCTATACACTAAGGTAAGTGAATGACCAAGATACATTTGTACCGTATTTGTGATATCATTCAGCTTTATGACAGTGTTTCTTAATAGGAACTTTGTAGAGGACAACATGGGAGCAAAATATGTGGATGCTGCCAGGCTGGACTTTGACAAGTTATATGAGGATAGTGGCCCCTCAACCTCTGTGTTCTTCATCCTCTCTCCTGGGGTGGATCCACTCAAAGATGTGGAGAAACTAGGTACTAGGCGTTTTTTTTTTTTTTTTGTACATTTTTATACATTCTGATGACTTGGTAGGGATAAATATTCTTTCCTTTCAGGGTTGAAGCTTGGTTTTTCCATTGACCAGGGCAATTTGCATAATGTGTCCCTGGGACAGGGGCAGGAGGAGGTAGCTGAAAGAGTTTTGAGGAATGCTTCTAAACTGGGACACTGGGTCATCCTGCAGGTAGAGAATTTTACTATTCATTGGCCAGGCAATGAATGCAGCAACTTCAGGCAGCTGTTCCCTGCTGCCTGTGTTGTACCCGATAATGTTATTTTATCCCCTGAGCAAGGGAAATAAACTCAATTTGGTTCAATAAAAGTCATAATTGGCTAGATCAGCTCCATAAATGCCTCCTTTAACAGGACAAGCCTGCAGCCAAGCGAGTCACTGCAGATCTTCTTTTTAATTCAGAACATACAGTAGGAAGACATTTTTCAGATGGATGAACAAAAATATAACTGTACATAAAAGCACATTTATTTTATTACCTATAAACTAATTTACCTAATCTTTTTTTTTTTTTCCCCCAGAATGTGCACCTGCTGTCTCGCTGGCTGCCATCTCTGGATGCTTTTCTGGAGGCAGCAGCAATGGACAGTCACCCCAGCTTCAGGGTTTTCATCACCGGGGAACCAGCACCAAGCCCTGAACAGCATGTAGTCCCCAGAGGAATACTGGAGAATGCCATCAAAATCACCAATGAGCCCCCCACTGGCATGAATGCCAGTCTGCATGCAGCTCTCAGTCACTTTAGTCAAGTGTGTGGGAAGTTTAAAATAATTTCAACAAGTGCATTACATTTTACAGAAAAGGTGTTGAACTGTTTCTTATGTTATATATTTTTTTATATTCCAGGACACTTTGGATATGTGTTCCAGAGAACAGGAGTTCAACTCGATGTTCTTCTCCCTCTGCTTCTTTCATGCTTGTGTCACAGAGCGCCGTAAATTTGGTCCCCAAGGGTGGAACCATAACTACCCTTTCAGCACCGGAGACCTCACCATCTCAGCAAATGTCTTGTACAACTACTTAGAGGCCAACACCAAAGTACTTTTAACACCATTTTTAAATATAATTTATATTTTGTTCATGGTTTTATTGATATTAATAAAACTGAATTCGTTTTTTTACTTCTGCTTTCTTAAGCTGTGTAAGTTTTTAATGATAATGGTGTTTGCAGTGGCATTATTGTCAGACAGGGATGCTAAATTACTGTACAATGTCTCCAATTATTGAAATCTTTTGTTGCACTGTTATTTGAAAAAAATGTTCATTCTGTTTTTTTTTTTTACATTTCGTCTATGAACACACAACCTATAATTTAGCTTTATTTCATGCAGACAAAAAAAAATCCATTCTTGGGGTGCTGTACCCTGCACAACTCCTAATGCATTTCTCTGAGAACTTCTATTACTCTGGTCACAACCAATTATGTCTCCTAGGTATTCTGCCCTCCAGAAACGAATGTCCTTCATTATGTTAACCAAACAGTAACCTGTATGTGCGTATACAGAGAATTCATTAGAAGGGCAATGAAGCGTTATCCTAAATGTAATTACATGCAGCCAATGTGACAGTTCACAACACTACATAAGTGATCACTGCAATTAGAGCTGATGAAGGAAGCAATTTGCAAAACAATACAGGTACAAATGATTGTGAACCTCCAGCTTTTGTAATTTGTTATGAATCACAGGTTCTTTTTTTTTCTCCTTCACCCTCATGGATCATAATCTCCTGCTGAGGAAAAGACGCTTCTGTCATACATTAGATCAGTGTGTATAAAGAAACGTAATTTTGTTACATTTCTTTACTGTAATCATTATTAAAAGAACTCATTTGGGAAGAGGTCACATAGTTGCCGCTTAACGTTTCAAAGGAGGAATGGAATAATGCCGAAAAAAATCAATGAAAAATGGCACTAACTGTGGCAGAACTAATTATACAATGATCCTGAAGTATTATTGATAACCTGGAAGTACATTTAATAACCTTTGTCTTTAGTTTTTGTTTTTTTTTTTTTTTCTAGCACAGGAGTTTCCTAATTATTAGTTATTTACATTTTTCTTACAGTATATTTTGACTGTCATAAGTTTACAAACTAACTTCGTTATAGTCAATGCAGGTGCCTTGGGAGGACTTGTGTTATCTTTTTGGAGAGATCATTTATGGAGGACACATTACTGATGACTGGGATAGAAGACTGTGTCGGGCCTATCTGCAAGAGTTCATGCATCCAAAAATGGTGAGTCAGTGCTCCTGTAAGAACTTGCTTATTTTGTAATTTCTACGGAATTATTAAACTACAAGGTATTTTAAATTGCTTAATTTGATAATTTTCAAAATTGTAAAATTCCCTAATCATTGAGTTAGATATTGATTCCATATTTGGGTTTTATTCAATTATACTTTGCCAAACAATACAGAAAAACTGCTTTTTTTGGTGGCATTGTTTGGGTAAAGGGTGCCCTCTTGGGGTGTAAACATACACTGCAATATTACACTCAAAGTCTTTGCCGTTGCTGATTTTTGTACCCTCACTTTGACATTGTTACCTCCCTGTGCCATCTGCTGCATGACACGCTACTACAAGCATTATTAGGGGATTATTTCATCTTTAGCATGCATTTAATTGATATGTTTCACTTGGAATTCATTTGTTTCACCCCACAGAAGGCTGATTTGCTACCAGCTTGACTGTTGTCATAATTTTTAGAGCATCTTAAATAGTGTGCTATTCTGTATGTGTTTTCATCTTTGTATTTTAAAATCCATAGTTGGAAGGGGAGCTTTTTTTGTGTCCTGGGTTTCTGGCCCCTCCATTCATGGACTACAGTGGTTACCATCATTACATTGATGAACATCTCCCATCCGAGAACCCCGCTCTGTATGGTCTACATCCAAATACTGAGCTCGAGTGCCTCACTGTCACCTCAGACAACCTCTTAAGGACTCTGCTGGAACTACAGCCACAGGACTCCTTCAGAGTAGAGGGGGGAGCTGAGAGCACAGAGGAGAAGGTGTGGAGGGAGCAGGAAGCATTAATGGGAAATAACACAGCTGAGAATACAGCGGCCTTCCTTCATAAATAACGTAACTACGTATGTTCATCTTATTTACCAGATCAGTTCTGTCATTGAAGACCTTCTTGAGAAACTCCCTGAGGAATACAACATGGCAGAGATGATCACAAAGACACCAGAGCGAAGCCCCTACGTTTTAGTCTGTTTCCAGGAGTGTGAACGCATGAATCTTCTCCTAGCAGAAATAAGGAAGACCCTTACTGAGCTGGATCTTGGCCTGAAGGTACAGTCTACTGTCGCGTGTACTGTTAACAGAACTCCAGTCTAACAGTGATATAATGTATCATTAATGAGAGTTTCACTGTCCACAGGGAGAACTCACAGTCTCTTCCAGTATGGAAACTCTGCAGTCTGCCCTCTTCACCAATTCTGTCCCAGATTCCTGGGCCCGACTAACTTATCCCTCCACTAAAACACTGGGACAATGGTAACTACTCCTTAATAATACTGTATTTTTAACTCAATGTGGCATTTCTTATCTCCTTTTCAGTTTCCCCGTGACCTGCCAGATTGTTCATTGTAGCAAACTGTCATGCCATTGTAAAATATTTTCAAGCATAAAGCCAATATTAAGGTGACCCATGCAGACGTATTGTAAAGGCTTCAAACACTGACATTCAGTATTGTTAATTGATCATTATCCATTTTATAGGTTTAGAGATGTACTATGTAGTTGTCGTGAGCTGGACAGCTGGACTCGAGACTTTGCTCTACCTGCAGTTGTTTGGCTCTCAGGGCTCTTCAACCCACAGGCCTTTCTCACAGGTGAAGTCCCAGTTTGACAAGCGATTTAGATTACATGTACCAGAAGCATTAGAAATATTAACATGCTGATTCCTTTTTTTTTTTTCTCCAGCTGTGCTGCAGAGCATCGCACGCAAAAATCAGTGGCCCCTAGATAAAATGGCTCTGATAGTTGATGTAACAAAAAAGACAAAAGACGAATTTGGACATCCACCACGGGAGGGAGCCTACATCCATGGACTCTTCATGGAAGGTTAGTAATAACCAGCTCTAACTCTCTTCCAACAAATGATCTATAAAGAATGAACCTGCATAGATTTTTATATTTTGCATCATATGCATTGGTAAAATGAGCAACTCTGTCCCATGTCCCTCTAGGAGCACGATGGGACACTCAGTCTGGAGTCATCTCTGAGGCAGTTTTGAGAGATCTGACCCCAGCCATGCCGGTGCTGTATGTAAAGGCTGTGCCTGCAGAGGAGCAAGAGCTCAAGAGCACTTATGAATGTCCATTGTACCGCACTAAGCAGCGTGGACATACATATGTTTGGACTTTCCACCTCCGAACCAAACAGCCTTCTGCCAAGTGGATCGTAGCTGGAGTGGCACTGCTGCTGTCTGTATGAGGCGTGATGGGAGTGGAAGACAGTGAGTCCTTAAGTATCTTATAATATTTGCCAACACTACAGTATTCTGCAAACACTGCTAAAAAACAGATATTTGTAGACAGTATTGAAAAATGTACTGCTATCCTTTTGCTCTTTATCATGTTTTGTGATAGAAAATTACAGATTACACACTTTTAACCTTGCTTTTTTATTGATATGTTTGTTGTTGTGTCCAGTTTGGCTTAAAGGAGTCAACACCGACATTGTAGCATTTAATGTGTGTTCTGAGATTTAAAGTAGATAAAGAAGCAGAGACATGTTTAGCCAGTGTTTAAACCTGTTGTCTGTGTCCAACACTTGAACCTCTCCCTGGAGATGGCTCACTCGGGGCTTGATTTGTTGGGAGCTTATGTCTTCATTTTAGACCATGTAATTCTGGATGGGGAGCATATTTTATTGGAAGGTCAAGATTAAAAAAGGCTCCCTGGCTGCCCTCTACTAACCGAATGATACACAATGCCGTCTGGAGGGTTCCCGGACAGAATTCCCAGGAGATGATGTGCATGGTTGCTATTGACTTTTAAATGAGGTGCATTTGACATTGACCTTTTGTACGGCAGAAGCAGAATACTAACAGACGAAGTGTAATTCATTCAGGCCTGTTTGAGAACCCTATTCAAAGACACCGATAGCTTTCTATGAGAACGCAACACATTAGATTGCCCATCCTTTATCTGTCTGCACTCTGTTAGCATCTGATTAACTTAATATGAACCAAATAAAATCTTATAACTTTCGATGAGTCTGAAGAAACACAGTCTTCTTATCAGACGTGTTGTCTTTTCAAACTGATTTAATCAAGGTTAATTGAAAACCAAGATGTTTAAAGTGTCCCTGTATCATGTGCGTAGGATGATTTTTATGGTTTAAATCTTCTGTGTGTTAGAGATGCATCAAAATATTGCAGGAGCTCCAGAGTCACAGTTGAGATCATATAGAAGAGTAATGCCATGAGAAAAATTATTTTAATCAGCACATAGCAATTGTCTAAAGGAAATTTTGTGCAACCATGAAAAGGAAATTTAGCTGAAAAAATAAGGCTATTTATTATTCAGTACAAGCTTATTTGACTTTTTGTAAACAGACTGTCAGTCAAAATAGTATGATATGGATATACCGTGAGAGAAACAGAACAGGTGCGATTTTGTTTGCTATGACAAACAAGTGACATTATGAAATTACAGCCACTGAAACACATCTCTCTTTTTTTTTTTTGGATGGAAATCAGCACTCTTATCTTCTCAAATGAGATTTTCTCCAACGCTAATAACTGCTGTGTTGCCCTTAATTTCTCCCTGCAACCGAAGGGGCTGTAGTCAGACAAGTGGAGGATGGTGGATTGATTCTTTGTATTGTATTGCACAGGGGAAATGAAGAACCAGTCTTCCTGTAGTTTCTCTTCATCTGCTCTCTCTTCCCCTCATTAGCACGCCACAGCAGCTAGCCAGTCATTTGGTGACAGGGAAATGATACAGTGCTGGCAGTGTTTGGGAGGAAATGGCAGGGTACGAGGCCCAACGCAGCAGGGGTCGTGCCACAGATAGTCATGTTAAAGGCCAAGCAGGACACCTGGTTAAAGTCAGCAAGGGCATCTGGGTCACACCTCCGCCTCATAGCACCCAGGAAAGATACTGTGTACTGATGGCCTTGTTATCCAAAAATTGAACAGAGCCCACATGTGTAGCTTTTTGTCAAGCATTGATTAAGTTCTCATCAAGTGAAATCCTGTGCATTGAACAACCTAGCCAAGTTAACTGCAATATTATATAGTGATAATATGATCAAAGTCTGTGGAAAATGTTAGAATTAGTATGTTCATCCTTCAATAGTTTTAGACTATCAGGGCCTAATTTGTTCCATAACAAAGGAGCTGTGTGCGCCTACTGACCAACCACCCCATCTTTCTCACTTTATATGCATTGTCTATGTACTGATGTATTTAGTAAAATGAACCATGTAAACATATACAAATATTATAAAATAATGGCATTAAAAATAGATTTAAACTCAGGGCTCCTGTACAAGGTGGGGCCTCAAGGTACAGTAGTAATGCATCTGTTGCCTTAAGGCCCCTGTTGTTTGTAGTGTGCTTTACAAGTTAATACAGTATTAACAAAGAAACCACAAAGTAACTGCCTTACACTGACCTGGAGCAATCTGATTGTTTCTTCAAAGATGAAATACTGTACTTTAAATTTACTAATTGACTGTAATATCAGACGTTGAAGTTTAATCTGAATATCATTCGTGTATCAAACCAGACACCCAGGTGACAGCAGGGTCTCCTCCTGACTGGTTTTTCTCTGACAAAACAGCCAACCCAGCAACATAGAAATGGAACTGGTAAAAACGGAATGTGAAAAAATATACAATAATACTCTGACGCCTGGTGCCAAGCTTGAAACACTGTGCAGAGTAGCTGCCAGTTCGTGCCTTTTTGTACTTGTTCTGCTATTAAGGTGGCTGTATTTGTGAACATGTTGAGAATATTAAATTCTCTCACCTTTTTGCATTTAACAGCTCCCTTTGTTTTCTTTGTGTTTATTACAGATCAGATTTTTTTACTTTATTTTTTGTGACTTTATAATAAGTCTTGTGTTTTATTCTTAACTATTTTAAAACCACAGCTGAGAAGTTAGTGCCACACAAACCAGTACAATAACTTGTCTTGAGATTGTTAAAATACAAACAACACAATTTAGGCTATGTCTACTTAAGTTATGTGTATTAAATATAATTAATTGTGTGGTTGATAAATTTTGTTTTGTGTTTTGTTTGCTCTGCTGTAACCTGGGCAGGAAGAGACAGTGCCACTTACCTGTTGAACTCCAAATGTCAGCATTCAGAGCGAACTCAAACATGTAGAAACACCTTTTACAATAGCCAGCTAATGATGATGAAAAATATTTTAATACATGCACAGTTAACACTGGTGGTCAATCCATGGTTTGCCATATCATGCAGACCAACTAAAGCAGTGCATACAGGAAACTTGAAATTAAACTGAATTCATATATGTAATATCTATAGAGCAAATAATTCTGAAATAAATATCTATCCAGAATTTCAAAATATACAGTAAAAACTGAATCAACTGTACATTTTTGATAAAAAAAAAATTAAATTAAAAATTAAGACACAGTGCTAAAACATATTCTCTCTGTGTTGCACTACGGCCTTTAAAAAACATGTACAAATGTCAGAATAGTCAATGTCATAAAGAGTAGAATACAAAATTCCATCTACAACACTTCACAGCGCCCTCCCTCAAGACAAAAGTCACAATTTTCTGTTGACCAATTTAGAGAATAAATACTGTAACTTCTATGACTACACACTTGTATACAGAGTTATTACACGCTGCACATAAGCATCCATCCATCCATCCATTTTCCTCCGCTTATCTGGGCCCGGGTCGCGGGGGCAGCAGTCTAAGCAAAGATGCCCAGACTTCCCTCTCTCCAGACACTTCCTCCAGCTCCTCCGGGGGA